AACGTTGGGTTACACAGAGTCCAGCAGGAGTGGAGGGTCCCTTAGGGCCTAGAGGGGGTGCGTGTCTAGAGGAGGACTTTCCACGTTACTTGATTGAAGGCTGTGTTCTGGGAAGCGCCGAGTCCACCCACTACCCATAGGTCATCTCATGGGACCTCCTCGTTCCCTTGCGGATAACTGTAATCATCGCCACTTTACAGACAAGCAAGTGGGGCCGGGGGGAGGCACCTGCCTCACGCCACGCACGGCGGCAGCACGGTCAGCATCCTGACCTTGGCCCCGGCTCGACTGTCTCCTTTAGGGCTTGTCACTCGGGGCTCTTCCTGATGCTATGGGGACGGTTCCCTTCTGTGGCCCAAGCATCCTGCAGGCAAAGGAAGCGGGGTGGGGCCTGATTCCAGATGCCATTCCGGGCTGTCCGGGAGACGAGGACGTCAGAGCCAGCAGCAGCAGCGAAGTGAAGCTGCCTTGACACACCTGGCCACCCTCAGCCGGGTGGCTGAGACGTAGGGGTCAGGTGGGCGGAGCGGGGCTTCCACAGGCCCTGTGTCCTGGGAAAACCCAGTGCAGAGCAGCCTCCTCCAGCCCCAGACATCGCTAACCAGGCGCTGAGCTGACGCGGGGAGATGCTGAAGGCACTGCTCGTACCGCTGCTCGCCCTGGGGCCGGCTCTGTGCCCCAGGGAGACTAACCCGTGCCCAGCCTGGGACCTGTCCTGGGTGGGGGGGGGCCCCTGCAGGCCTGGGGGATGCTCTGCAGGGGCGGCAGCTCACGGGACCTTGGCTGCCTTCCAGCTCTGCCAGACTTGAGGTGACCTTCCCGCTGGGCCTTGACCCTGCTGGGGGCGGGGGGCGTGGCCCGGGCCACTCGGCGCCGAGTCCTCCGACATCCCACAGGCGTGGCGGCCGGGCATCGAGGGCAATGCAATGTCCGTGTCACCAGTTCCTAGGGAGATGCAGCCTCCACCTGGGGCCTGCATTCGCCTGACTCCCGAGGTCCAGGTGGCCCTTGTTGCTATTCTCAGCCTTGCACCCTCCATCCGCATAGGCCGGCCCTGCAGTGAAGACCTCTGGGACACGGGGCCCGTGTGCTCTGACCCCCAGACCCACCCTGACCAGCAACATGGTCCTTCGTGTCTCAGTTTCCTGCCTGCAGGCTGGCCGTAGGGGGTGAGAACTGGCTCTAGGATGGGTTCTGCCATCCTGGCCGGGCCTGTGGCCTCTCAGATGCAGGGACAGAGCCAAACTTCCCCACCCATCTCAAGGTCACACATCCACCATCTCAAGGTCACATGTTGCAGTAAGCCCCAGTGCCAGGGCTAGAACTCACCCATGTGACCCACGAGGGTCCTGGGACCAGAGTCAGGCGGGCTGAGGTCCCAGCCGGGCTCTACTCGCGGCTGGGTGAGCTCAGGCCAGGGACCTATACGGCCCGAGCCTCGGTTTGCTTGTCTGCAGACTGGGGAAATGAGTTAGAAACCAGCCTCCAAGATGGCTCCAGAGACCTGTCCCCAGTGTCACATCTCGGCAGCACCCCCCCATGGCACCAGGGTTGGTCTGCGTGGCCGACAGAGACCCCTTGGTCCCCTGAGGCAATGTGATGAAGGGCCTGTGGCTGCTGCTGGGTGCGTGTGCCCTCCCCCCGCCCCGACACCTGCTGGGCTGGCCAGCTGCCCTGCTGTCACCAGCAGCCCGGTGGAGAGGCCCGCCCGGTGGCGAACAGGGGCCTGTTGCCCACAGGCCCCCTCGAACCTTCAGATCAGGCGGTGTCAGCTGCCAGCCTCACTGCCAGCTCCTGGGAGACCCTGAGCCCACCCGAGCCCACCCAGCAGGCCGCTCCCATTTCCTGGCCCACGGGCGCTGAGGTCATGGGTGTTCTTGTTGTCTTCCGTGGCTGACATTTTGGGGTGGCTTGTCCCCATGATCGTAGCCGTGGGGGCTGATGGCGCTGCCTGACGGAGGGGCAGTGGGGCCCCCACAGAGGGGCGTGTGGGAGCCCAGCTCCCAGCAGGCCCAGGAGGCCCTCCTCGCTTTGCTAATGCTCACCGCCTGGGAGCCCGAGAAGCCTGCGCTCACGTGGTCACGGTTAGCCTTCTCCTCTCTCTCCAGCGCCGCCGGGGACGTGGGTGACCGCCAGCGGGACAGTGAGGGTTGTCAGGAGCCATAACTGGGGTGCTCGTGTTTGGGAGAAGCTGGGGAAACTTGCAGGTGGCGGCGGCGGGTGAAGGCGGCGGCTCAGAGGGGGAGGAGGCGGAAATGGAATTAGTCTGCACAGCTCAGCTGCTGATGGCTATGCTCAAAGGCCTCTCACTTGCTCATTTTTAATCTCTTCCATTTTTAAACAGCTGGCAGCGGAGTGGAGCTCAAGTGCACATTCCGGGATCAGGTCCAGGCTCCCGCCCGCCTCGTCCTCTCTCTTAAGCGTCCCCTCCAGTTGGTGAGGAGGAGGGCTGCAGGCCCGCGGCGGGTGGGGAGAGCAGAGGACAGAGCTGGAGGTGAGACGGGGACCACACAAGCATCAGAAACTGTGTGCGTCCTTGTGACCACGTGCCCTCGGGGTTCAGTACCTTCTCCCCGGGTCCTGGGTTCCCCTCTCGGTCAGAGCTGTTGCCTGGAGATCTCAGCCTTCACTCAGCAAACCACACCACCCCCCGGCCCCCCAGCCCCCAGGGGCAGGCCTCGTTCCCAGCCTCACGTGGCTGAGCTACAGACTCAGGAAGCCCCCAGCCCGGAGCCTGGCCCCCGCGAGGCTTCAAGACACGTCACTATGATTATTAGTAACGACCAATAAGGGCAAGGCCAGTACCCCCACCCCGGGAGACCGCCTCTGACCCAGTCAGGGTGCCCCGGGAGGAAACTGGGGTCTCAGCTTAGCTTTGGGGGTGTGGACGTAGAATGAGGGGTCCAGATGCAGAGACCACATCAGGACGGAGGAGATGGGGGCGGGTGACAAGACCAGAGGAGGCAGAGCGGATCAGCTCCCACTTCGGGGACTGACTGTGCGGTCCCTGAACGCCGGCCCGAACACCTAGACTTCGTCCCCAGGCCAGGGAGCCATGGCAGGCTTTAGAGCAGTGGAGGGACGCCGTCCACACTGTGCCTTAGCAAGGCTAATACTGCCGCAATGAAGAGGAGTTGCTGAGGGAGGGACAGAGCCCAGCTGCTGCAGCTGCGCAGGGAGAGAGGAGGGTGGGGGCACGGTGGGGCCTCAGCAGGGACGCGCTCTGATGGGGGCGTGGCATGACCTTGCAGTGTGGGCGTGGCACGGCGGGATGGGCGTGGTGTGGGCGTGGTTTGATGGAGGGCGGGGGTGGTTGGGCGGGGCAGGGCAGGGGAAGCAGTGGGCTCCCTGACCCGGCCCTCCTTTCCTTGGCCTCAGCATCTCAGGTCCCCTCCGTAGGCTTCCTGAGAGGAGAGGAGAGGAGACCCTTGGTTCACAGAGGGAGCTCTGGGCATCTCGACCAGGAAAGTGGCCCCAGCGGTGGCCCCAGCGGTGGCGGACCCAGCTGTAGCTCTTTAGCCAGGGGCTCCGAAGGAAGGTTAAATCAGGCCGTCATTGATTAATGGTTCTCCGAGTCTGCGAGTGAGTGAATTGACCAGCGTGGGTGGTCCTTCCCGTGAGCTCAGAAAGTACATCTCAACGGGAAAGGGAAGCGGGAAAGGTGGGGAGTCACCGCGACATCAGGGCGGGGTCCTGAGCACTCCCGAGGCCTGCGCTGTGTGCGGCTGCAGAAGGGGGCCCTCAAGGACTCACGGGCAGTACGGAGTCTTGGGGGGGGTCCCAGGCAGGGCAGCAGGGCCATGGGGGGAGCAGGAGAAGGGGGAAGCGTGGCCCCCTCCCCCCAGGAGACAGAGGAGGGGCTCTGGCGCTGCCCAGATCCCGCCCAGCCTGGCCCTGAGTTACTGGACCTTGCTCACCAGCTGACCTCCTCACCCACCACCACCCCTGATCCCTGCCGCTCGCTCTGCAGACCTCTCTGCCCTCCGCTGCTGCTGCAGTGGGAATCTGGGGTGGTCCCTTCCCGTGCCAGGTCTGTAGTCCTGGGGCCCGCTCAGGACAGCGTGGCTGGTGTTGACGCTGGCATGGAAGGTGGCAGAGCTTCTCCACAGAGAAGGGACTCTCGATGCCCTGATAGCAGAATCAGCCCCGGCATTGCAGGTATTTGGAACCAACACCATTTTTTTTCTTCCTAAAGCGTCACTACCTAAGAAAACCCAGTTTGTGTAGTCACACTCCTTGAATCAGAAACTGGTATGTGTCAAGATAATAAGATTAAAGCTCAGGCTGGCGTCCCAGCAGTTTGATGGGCATCAGGGTTGGAGACGGGCGGCAGGCAGGGTCCGGGCGTCTGATCGGGCCACCGGAGTCGGAAGGGGAGCAGGCTGGCTTTCCCAGATGGTGGGTGGGCCAGACAGAGGCAAGCATGTGTCCCCAACTCCCAGCCCCCAGCATTCCTCACCAAATTTTCACCTTTTAAAGACAGGACTATTTTTAACCATCCTGTCAACATCCCTGTAAACTTTTTACTTTCCGTGTTGAAAACTGACAAAGACGCTACCTCTGAGGAGGCACAAACACTCCTTAACGGCATGGAGCGGGGAGGGGACGCGCTTGTGCAGGAAAAGGAAGGCACATTTTGAAGTGTACCCCGCAAAGAGGGGCTCTGGAAGGTGCAGTGAGGTGCTTAGAGAATGGGTGGAAGTCTGTCCTGGGGCTCCGACGTCTGGGGAGGAAGCCCGGGGGCTGAGGTCCTGCGGGGAAGCCATGCCCTCCGGGGGCTGGTTAGGGTCCCAGGGAGGGCAGGTGAGGGGGTGTGGCTCCTCCAGCTCTGGACTCTGGATGGGGGAGACTGGGGAGCACTGAGTTTCCCAGACATATTTCTTCAAGAATAGAGGTGAGGAATTACCCTGGCCCCAAGGAGCACATACCTTGGCCCCGAGGAGCACGTACCTTGGCCCGAGGAGCACTTACCCTGGCCCCGAGGAGCACGTACCTTGGAGTGTCTCCAGGGCCAGATTCCTTCCTTGATTCCTGACTGGGGCCCAGAAAGCCCCTGACGCCAGCCCCAGAGGAGCAGGGGGCCCTCACGCAGAGGGCACCTGGCTCAGGGCACCCAGGGACCCCCTGGCACCCTTGTGGGATGTACCACGGAGAGCTCCAGGGCTGCACGAGGTGAGCAGACGTCTGCAGAGGTGCTCGGACAGCCGGCATCGGTCCTCCTGAAATACGGTGCAGGGCGTCTGGGTGTCGGGGGGATGGTGGTGGGGAGGCCTGGGGCAGGGCTTAGGGCAGTCCCTCCAGTCCTGGATCCCTGGTGGGCGCAGACCGTGGGAAGCCCTAGGAAGGTGGGGAGACACTAGTAATAGAGGCCTGAACGCAGACCCCGCCCCAGGTGCGCTCCTCATCTCCGGGCCAGGCCTCCAGAGCAGCTTCAGGGTGCAAGGGCGCTGAGCGCTGTGCATACAGCAGGCTGCCCATGGATGCTTGTTGAAAGACTTCCCACCGTTGACAGAAGCTCGGTGAGTTTCCAATTTAGACAAACCTGATCTGCGCCTCCCCCACCAAGCCAGCCAGTCTACGTCAGGAAGATGTTCCCAGATGGCGATTGTGGCCGGCCGGGCTCTGCTCATAAAAGTTCCGACTTCGGTGGACGCCTCTGGGGGAAGATGTGACAGAAAATAACAGGCAGGCCAGAGGCGGTGCAGACCTTTCCCCTCTGACCCCAGCAGTCCTGCGACCCCCCGCAGTGGCTCCATCTGAGTCACCAAACCTGCCGAGGGCTCCCCCAGCCCACCCTGAAATTCCAGAGCTTCCAGAGTGGCCCCGCCAAGGGGGACAGACGTTGGAGCCCGGGCCAGAGGACGAAGCGGGGGTCCGTCGGTCGGGGCTCTGCTGCTGGGCAGTGGGGATGAGACTTTCCTTTCTAGGGGTCTAGCCGCTCGCGTCTGAATGGGGCAGCTGGAAGTGGTTCTGCGGCCTCTCCCAGACTGAAGCCCAAAGGGCAAGACCCCTTCTCTTGTTTGCTCCCCGCCCCCCGCCCAGCAAGCTGGGCGCTCATCTGGCTGCGTCAGCTGCAGTGACCGGGCACCTGCACGCACACGGGTTCATGCCCCCCACAGAGACTGCTCTGGGGCCGGCCACTCTCCAGGGCGGCTGTCCTCCACGCTGCCGCCCAGCCTGGGGCCTCTGTGTTTCCCCCAGTGGGGAAGAGAGAGATGGACGGCCCACCCCCCCCCCCGGGAAGACTGCTGGTACCTCCCTGGCCAGAACCAGTCACGGGGCCCCCCATCCCCCCAGGGGCTGGTCTTCCCCCTCCCAGACCCCTGAGGGAGGACTAGGCCATGGGAGCTGGTGGGCGCAAAGGACTGTCTCTGCCTCTTACGTTGCTCATAAGTGAGCGAATGGACGGAAGCTTGCCCGAGGCTGGGCGGGCGGGCGACCGCTGGTGGGGCGGGGCCGCGGCCAGGAAGGCAGAGCGGTCACTTACATGACGCTTAGTTCCAGGAGGGCTTTGTCCTTAACACGCACGAGACGCCTCGTCACGCTGCAGTTAGACCCTCATTTAGGACAGCGTTTACCAGGCATTTCAGCGCGCAGGCTCTGGGCTTTGGGTGTCGGCTCGGCCCTGGCCTGGGGACAGGTGCCATCACGCGGCCCCCGGGGTGACAGATTGCTCTGAGGGAGCGCGGCTGGCCCTGGAGGGGGACGAGGAACAGGTTCTAATGATGGATGGCCCAAGGAGGCTGCTTTAATTTCCCACCCTCACCTGCCACTCTGCGGCCATCACCGGCGGCGCCAGTGTCATTTCCCAGACTCTGTCCATCCATCAGGCTAACATGAAGTCAAAGGTGCCCCTCATTTCATTGCCCGGGGTGGGGGGGCCCTATGCTGGGGAGGGAGGGAGTCGGTGGGAGGTGTGCCCTTCTCAGAAGCGGAGTTGGGAGTTTAGCAAAACCGGAAGAAAGCGTCTCCAGGCTCCAGCCTCCGGCCTGGGCTGGTTAACGTGGCAGAAGAGTGGGCCTCTGGGTGCTGATTTCCAGAGACTGCACTCGGGCCCTTGCTGGACCACGTCTTGGGGGTGTGGATGGCTGGAGCAGACCCTCCCCATTGGCTGCTGGACACACAGCTCAGCCAGGGAGCTGTCTGGAACTGCCGGACAGCCGCACCGCTGGGCAGATCCTCCCCGCCAGGCAGGACTGTGTCCCTCCTTCATGTTGTTATTCCAAAAAGGGACGCGGCTGTGCCTCCCCACCCACCGGGCCCCTCCCTGGTGGGGGTGCTGCGTCTGCGGGGGTTTTGAAGTGTGGGCTTCTGGTTTCTCTTTGTTGCAGAGAGCCACCAGGGAGCGCAGGCGGCTGTCCCATATGTTAGTGACAGAGCTGTCACGTCACTGTCAGGGGCTGGGCCGCCTCGTGTCCTCACCTCTCTGCCCTGGGCCCCTCCTCCAAGGGCTTGGTCCATGCGGGCAGGGGAGTCCTTGGCCTCTGAGGCCACGCCGAGTCCCTCGGTGCCACCAAGTTTGGTGCCCCAGATGATTCATCTCAGCCTGCCTCACCACCTTCTCCGAGGTGTCAATTGCTCGCCTTTAAAAATAGCTTTATTGCGTTCTTTGATTATAAAATGAGTTCATCATTATTGCAAAACAGTTCAGAAGACTCGAGAGTCAAAGAAGGAAATTGTGACCACCTTCCCACGGGCGACCACCCCATTTCTGTGCAGGAGGACGTGCGTGTTTGCACAAGCACGAGGGCGTGCGCTTACCCGGCTGTGGCCGGCTGTTTCCCACCTGGAGTTTTGTGGACACCGTGCCCGCCCGTGCATGTCGGGCGATGTGTCACTTTCATGGCTACTGAGTCACTGCCAAGAACCGGGCTTCCAGTCAGGCTGGTGTGACCCCGGTGCGGCTGGGAATCCTCGGAGCCTCTGTTTCCCTCTCCCCCAGCACAGCTGCCAGCTTCAGAGAGACTGGCTCCCTGGAGTGCAGGGTGTGGCCCACGGCTCCGGCTGTGGGCATCCTCTGTGCGTCCCACTCCCACAGGCCCCCGGCCGTGATTCCCCAGCACAAAGTGCAGATCAGTGCACCCGGTTCTGCTCAAGGGCTGATGAGCTGTTTCTGCCTTCCCCCTGTAAACAACTCAGCAGGGGCCACCCTTGACTCTGGGTCTCCGCTTGCTTGGCTGATTCAGCTCTAAGATGATGTCCCTGCGTCCCTCCCTCCTCGTTTGGTTTTCGGTGTGTTTAGGAAATAGATCCAAGGGTGTCTGGCGTGGTTCCTAGAAAGCATAACCCAGGGCCCGGAGCTTGCACACAGGCCACGAGGCGCAGGGTGGAAGGGGCTGGCCAGAGGGCGCTGGGAATGGGAAGTCCCCAGCCTCGTCAGAAGCTGCAAGGCCACGTCCAGATTCCTGGAAACTGGAGGCCAACCAGCTTAGCCCACTTTCCAGGCCCAGGCAGAGAGGGTGCCCAGCAGAGGAGTGCTGGGCCCGGGGTTGGGGGCACTCCGGAGCCCGGCCTCCCCTTCGCCTCTGGCCCCGCCAGCCCGCCCGTCCTCTCCCAGGGCAAGCAGGTGGCTGGCTCCCAAAGACGGAGGGGCTGGTTCCGAGCACAGGGAGGTCGGCGCTCTGCCCCAGATATCTTCTCACTGGGCCTTTCGTCCCAGCCAACTAATTACAACAGTAGGAAAGCTCTCGGCTCCAGCCGGGAGAACTGGCCTCCGCCCTGGAGCCAGACGAGGCTCCCAGCTCATCAGGGTGTCTGTGCCTCGTCATCAACCTGCTAAGCCCCGGCCCGCGCGTCTCCCTGAGCCGGGGGGCGTGCTGACAGGTGCCACCAGCTTCCCGCCTTGCACGGAGCCCGGAGCCCGCCGGGTGCTGGGGCCTTGGGCTGCTGGACCACACCTGCCCCCGCCCTGCATGGTGGCGGTGCCGTGAGGGCACGGACTTGGCCTTGGTCGTCACTATTTCCTGTCGGGCCTGGTGGGCGTGGAATTGAGGGGAGGCCAGCTATGGACCTTCGGTGTTTGGCTCCAGTCGGACCTGCTGCACCAGTGCTGCGTCGCTGTCAGGGTGGCCGTGTCTGCGCTGCCCGGTGTGGAGTAGGGTCTTCACGTGCACGTGCTGAGGGGGTCAGTGCGCAGAGGAGGCCTACACGTGTGACACAGGCGCTCCTTCTTCGTGGCCACCCAGACCCACGCAGACTCTCCCTCGGGGCCGCACCACGAAGGACGCACTGCGGAGCCCACGGACACCAGGGAAGGTGAGGTCCGCCTGCTGCGGCCGCACAAAGCCTGCGGCCGGAGTATCTCCCCCGGCCGCCCCCTGGGGTCTCGCCCCCACCCTCTGACACGCTGGATGCTGCCCAGCCCCCAGGCCGCTCTCACTTGCCCGCCGACCTCTCACCCCGACTGGACCCTGGCGGTCAAGCTGTGCCCGGGAATGGCCCTAGCATCTCCCTGGCCGTGCTGCCAACGACTGTGCTGTTTTTCTTGGCGTTTGCTTTCGTGACGAGATAGCAGTAGCAGCTGTTGTTATCAGGTGCTCGCTATGGGCTGAGCGCTCCCTCCATCCCAGCCTTCGGGCCTGAGAAGCAGCCTGCAGGGTGGTCAGCCTGCGTGCTGCTTATAAACGACGTGCAGGTGGCCGACCCACTGCCGTCCCCACAAGTCCCGCAGCTGGAAGGGAGGAGCCGGACCCCGGTCTGTGCCTGCTCTGTGCTGAGGGGGGGCCCGGCGTGGTGACCGTGAGCCTGGCCCCGTCCTTGCCGGATGCACGCTGAGGCGTGCAGCTGCGAGGCTTCGGGGCTGGGGGTCAGTGGGAGGTCGCGGCAGGGTGGTCACGGGGCGTCGTTGGAGGGAGACCGAGGGGCAGGTGTGTCCCAGCCACAGGCTGCTCTCTCACTGCCTGTGCCCCATGCTCACTGCAGGTGACGTGGCCCTAAGACCCCTCTTCAGACAGTGACCCTGAAGGCTTGGTCCTTGGGGAGACCTTCCTTCCGGCAGGACTCACGTGGCCCCGACAGACAGCAGCCTGGAGCCGTGTCTCCCAGAAGCACTGGAGAACGCTGCTCCGGACTCGTCCACCCGCTCCACGTCCTGTCGGGGGTGGTCTCCCTGCAGCTCCCGGGTTCCAGCCAACTCCGGAATAATGAGCACCTCGCAGTCCCGGGAAGCCCAGCCTCAGAGACCCCCCAGCGTGATCCTCAGCCCCGGGCCAGCTGCCGCTCACCCCCCCCGTCCCCCCAGGACCGTCAGCCGACTAGAGCCAGATGGCCCGGAGCCGGGCATCCAAGGACACAGTCACGTCCCTCCCAGGAATAAGGACGTGGGTGGGAGGCACAGGTGAGAGCGTTTCCTTGAGTCCCAGTGACCCCAGAGCTCCTTGCGGACCAGGCCAGGTGTTGCCATGGGGACAGGTGGCGAAAGCAGCGAAAGCAGCAGGGGGCGGGCTCCCACCGAGGGCAGTGTCCCTCCCTCCTTGTGCAGAATGGTGTCAAGACCTCTTTTTTTGCTGTGAAAACCACAGTGTCCTCCCCTGCTGCACGCACGCCGGGAGTGCTGAGCACGGGCACCAGGGGTCCGCGGGCTCCGCGGGCTCCGCTCACACTTGCTCGGCTGCAGCCCCACGAGAATGCACAGCATCTTTGGTGGGCGAAGGGACGGCCTCTCTGGCCTTGCCTGGCCCTGCCTGGCCCTGTCACCAGCGGCCTGCGGCCCAGCACCAGCTCTGGGACAGCAGGGGACGGGGGCTCCCTCTCTCGAGGCCACCCCGGACACGCTCCTGCCCCCCAGGGCCTGGGGCCTCTGCCGGGTTCCCTGGTCACTCCCCATCTGTCTGGTCCCCCAACCAGTGCCAGGTGCAGGGGCCGCGAGATGAAGCTCAGGTGCTCAGGAGACTCACACATCCGTGTCCCCAGGACGCGGACGTCCTCGGCCCCATGCCAGCAAATGCGGCCTTATTTGGAAACAAAGTCTTTGCAGGAGTAATTGAGATGGAAGCTGAGATGAGGGCAGTCTGGAGTAGGATGGGCCCTTAGTCCCATGTGTCTGGGGTCCTTTGAAGCAGAGCAGAGCCGCGGAGACAGACACACGGAGCAGAGAAGGCGGTGAAGGCGCAGACACAGAGGGAGGAAGGGGTCAAGGCTGGGGCCACACAGCTACAGACCAAGAGACCCAAGGCTTGCCGACCACGAGCAGGAGTCAGAGGGGCCTGGAAGATTCTCCCGCAGAAGGAACCAGCCCTGCCGACCCTGGGACTCCGGACTTCCAGCCTCCAAGCCTAGGAAAGCGTACGCTTCTCCTGTTTAAGCCGCAGGGTTGTGGTCCTTACGGCTTAAACCGTTCTTAAACTGTTACACGGGTGCCCCCGGGCCTTGGGACTTGTCAGTCTCTGTAATGTGTGAGCCAATTCTTTAGAACAAGCCCCTTTATATATATATATATATATATATATATATATATATATATATACTACACACACACACACACACACACACACACACACACACTCCTC